TCAGAAATGAAAAATGCTAGAAGGGATAAGGAAAAAAATAAGTAAACTAATAAACTGCTGGTAGAGTAGTGAACTGGTCTACCCATTCTATAGAACAATTTGGAACTAGGCCCAAAGGGCTATAAAATTGTGCATACCCTTTGATCCAGCATTACCATTACTATGTCTGTATGCCAAAGAGATTAAAAAAAAAAAAGGGAAAGGACCTATTTGTATAAAAATATTTATAGCAGCTCTTTTTGTGGTGGTAGCCAAGAATTGGAAATCAACAGGATGCTCTTCCATTGGGGAAAGGCTGAACAAGTTGTAGCTGTGGGAAATGACAACGTGAGTGCTTTCAGAAAAACATGGCAAGACCTATATAAACTGATTCAAAGTGAAGTGAGACGAACCAGAAAATCATTGTACACAGTAATAGCAATGTTACAGTGATGACCAACTGTAAAAGATTGGGCTATTCTGATCAATACGATGATCTAAGACAATTTCAAAGGATTCATTATGAAAAAATGCTATTTACCTCCAGAAAGAGAACTGATGAACTGAGTGCAAATTAAAGTATAACTTTCTCACTTTATTTTTCTTGCCTTTTTAAAAATATGGTTAATATGGAAATATGTTTTGCATGATTTCACATGCATAATTAATGTCATATTGCTTGCCTTCCCAGTTGGTAGGGGAGGGGTGAGAGGGAGGAAGAGAATTTGGAACTCAAAATTTTAAAAGAACCAGCTGTGTGACCTTGGCCCAAGTCACTTAACCCCAATTGCCTCACTAAAAAAAAAAAAAACAAAAAACAAAAAACAAAATTTTAAAAGAATGCTAAAAATAAAGAATAATTTGGGGGAGATTAAAAAAAAAGAATATAAACTCCTTGAGACCAGGGATTAGCTTTGTTTTTCATATTTATATCCCCAGTACTCTAGCACAGTGTGTGGTAAATAGTAAGCATTTAAATGCTTTTTCATTCATTCATTCAAAAAAAAAAATCTTCCATCCTGACAACTTGACAATTCTTGTTCATCTCAATGGCATAGAATTGAGTTCAAAAATCTAAGAAAAAGAAAATATTTATTTCTAACCTGCTTTTGCAATATAAAATGCTTAGCAAAAATGTTTAGTGAAATAAAATTACATTATACTTTCCCCAAAAGGAGAGGAAATGTAGAAATTTTTTAAAAACCTTCCTTCTGCAGAGGATATAAATGAATTAGAAAACTTGGAATTTTAGATAAAATTTCATAAGACAGCTTAAAATGATTTGCTAATTATGTGGGCAAAAAAAAATGAGATCCTATAGTTGAAATCTGACCTTTTAGATTTATACTCTTTTTATTCAAATGTATTTATAAAAGGAAAAAAGATAATTTTTAATTTATCACCAGGATTCATTCAACCAGGAATTCATTCAACTGGGATTCAGCAAATTCTAAAATACATGGAGCTGATTTGACAACAGTTTGGCTGCTAAATCTGACTTTAAAAAACTGTTAACTTAACGGCTTTTTTTTTTCCCTTTAAGAGATTTCTTCTTGGACTGCAATGCATAGGAATCAGTTTTTAGTCTATCTTATACAGGAAGAAGGAGAGATTTCTATCCTTAAAAACAGGAGGTTCGCCCACATGATCACCTGGGACAAACTTGGCCACTGCAAGCAGGCTAGAAGGTTATAGGAGCCTGGGAATGTTTAACATCAAGAAAGTAATTACAGCCCAGCAAGATCAGAGGGAATTACACAGGAAATGTGAACAGTAACCCTTTCATGCCAAAAAATCCTATGAAAAATGGAGCCCTGCTGCTGCCAAACTATGTGACTACACAAATCAACTGGAAGAAAAAAGCTAACGGAAAAAAATGGGTGTGTGTGTGTGTGTGTGCGCGTGTGTGCGCGCGTGCGCGCACATTAAAAGCCTATAAATTCATAATGATGTGTTAAAATCATGGTTCAAGAAAACAGCCTTTGGTCTTTCTCATTGCCATGTATGCCCTGTATACCTGAATTACCCCGAGCTAAGAACACACGAAATCTGAAGAGAATTGTCCAATCACACACAAGGGAAAAAGAACAGATGCTGGCATACTCATCAGCGGTACACAATGTGGTTCATCTGTAGCTGACCAAATAAATAAATCTCCACCCTAGATGGTGGTCAAACATCTTGTTCCTATTCAGCCTGCAGGGAAAACATTCCTTTCACAATAAATTCTATGTTATCTAACAAGAAATGTTCACTCCCCTCCCTTTACCTACTCCACATAAAATCACCTTCTATATTCTGAATCAAAAAGCTGAACTTTGTTAAAAAAAAATAAGTTCAGCTGCTTCATATTCTTGAAAAAAAAAAAAATCAATCCTCAGAAGCTAAAGGAAATGTGAGTAGCCTGACTGCCCCTGGATCAAGTTACAAGGCTTCTAAGTGTCAATTGGGAGGGAGAAGTGGAGTGCAGATTGTATTCTTCCTTATGGACCCCTGGGAGAGATTTCCATCAAGCAAGTTGCTACTATGAGGCCTGTCATTAGGGAAAAGAGAACATTTCTCAGCACCTATCAAAAGACAATTGTATAAGAAATTAATTTCACAAACATACACATACACATGAAGACAGAGATAAGAGGGGCTGAGAAATGAAGATAAAAGTGATTTAAAAAAAAAACACCAGTTTTCAGAAAGCATTGAGAACTCCTTATGTCACTTCAAAAACTGATTAACCTCAAACAAAATAATTAGTAGCTACCAAGGCTAAATCTCAAAATAGAGACTGCCCCTACCTTGACCAAAAAAAAAAAAATCAGATCAAGAAATGAAAATAAGGACACTCAGAGAGGATATATCAGAAACATAGATGCCAGGAACTGGAAGGGACTGTCCAAGGCAACAGAGTCCAACTGGAACCTGACCAAGAATCTCTTGTACTTTTTCAACAATTGGCCTTGTACACTTTTGCTTAAGGACTTCTGACAGTGGGAAAACTCAATGCTCCCTAACAAGTCCATCCCACCTCTGGACATCTCTAATGCAGACAGTTTCTCCACAGCACGACATACATACATTAAGATTGCCTACCTGCAACTTCCCCACATTCCTCCTAGTTCTGCTATCTGAAGTCAAGCACAAGAGGACCGAGAAGCCCTCTTCCACAGGAAGGCCCTTCAAATACTTGAAAAGAGCTATCACGTCACCCCTGAGTTTTGTGGTTCAGGCTAAACATCCCAGCTCTTTCAAATGATAGCCAGGTGGCACGGTCTCCAGGTCCTTTTATTCCTCTGACTGCCCTCTTCTGCACATGCTCCAGCTTATCCTTGTCCTTCTTAACAGTGGTGCCCAGAACTGAACACAGTGCTCCCCATGAAGTCTGACAACTGCAGAATATAAACAAACAATTACAGGGTCATCCTCCTTTGTTCTGGACATTACCCTATCAATAGTGGAAGTGGGAAGAGGGTGGGAGGGAAATTACCTGCTCAATCACACTTGGCTCAACTGGAGCTTGCAGGCCATTAAACCTCCAGATCTTTGGTAGTCCAGCCACATCATGTCCACCCTATACTTGTGAAGCTGAGTTTTTGAAACCAAGAGTAGAACTTCACATTTTTCCCCAATCAAATTTAATCTTATCTGGTTTGTTCTACCATTCAAGCCTATTGAGATTTTTTCTTTAAGCTTGACTCTGTTCTCCAATGTGTGTTAGCAGTCCCTCTTAGCTTCTTGTCATCTAAAAGTTTGGCATTAAGTTATTGGCAAAAAGTTTAACAGACCAGGGCTTAAAAACTGTTCTCGAGTACTCCATTAGAGTCCTCCCTACAAGCTGACATCAATCCATTAATAATTAGCAACATATCAAACAAATCCTAAATTATAAAAAATCATTTAAAAAATATTAATTCTGACAGGAGACTAAAAGTATCTAGTATCAACATATTTCTAAAGATGGCAAAAACCAAGAACACAGCTACAGCGCTAATGGGGTAAGAGATAAAAAATAGATGTTGATTTTTAAAATGGATGGCAGAAAGGTTTGGGCCTGGTATTATGGAACTTATCAATTTTGATATAACCAACTTCCTGTAAATAAAGCAACTAAGAGAATTTAAGATCTATAAGGTAATACACATCAAGGAGGGAGGAGGTAAGGAGAGGGAAAAGATTGTTTAAAAAAGTCAAGAAAAATCAGAAACTCGGAATCTAAGAAAATATTAACAAATAACAAAGTATAGACATAAGTAGCTAAAGAGTAAGCAAGTGGTAGTAACCAGTAAAGGACCTTGAAGCCAAAAATAAGTATATAATTTTTTCTAAATTCAAAAATGAATGTCTGCTAATAAGCACCATCTTGGTCTCTTGGGCTTGCCTGACAAGACATTTCCACACCCCACTCCAACAACAACAACATCTAGAAAGGTCACCTGGTACAGTCTCTTCCCTGTATTTTCACACACCAAAATGATTACGAGTGCCAGTGGAGGATGTCTTTCAAACAAATTCCCTCCCCTTCAGGATGTTCCCACAGTTGTTCTACAGAGCCTAAAAGTTAAAAGATCTGGGGGGACTATAAGAACCCCTGAATTGCCTGGAACTGTTCACTATCCTTATTACCATGCATCAAATCTTTACCCCTCAAAGTCTTAGAGCATCTTAATGGCCAATATACCCTTCTGCTCCTAATAGCTAAGCAAGGACACTATATTCCCACCCACCTGGCCTGGTGATCAGAAGTCTGACCCCGACAAAGCAGTGATCACAGAGACTCCGGGCTAGACAACAGCATTCTTCCTTAATCTCTTGGTGGTTACAATTCCATAGAGATATGAAACTGAAAATGATAGCTTTACCAATCTTTCCTTTCCATCACCTAGGCATGATGGTTTGTTATATAAAATCTCAGTAATGAGTTGCTAGCATTGATTATTTAATGTAAAAGAAGGAAAGTGATTGAAATGGAATTTTATGCACATAAAGTCTAAATTATGTGGACTTTACAAAAAGTAGATCATACTTACTATAAGCCAGGCTTGGCCATTCTTCCTTGTTCACAATCTTTATTTCAATCTTCTTCCTTTCAAAGAACATAATATAAGACTCAAGTAAGTTGAGCTGTGGAAGAAAGAAGACAGCAGTCATTAGTACTAAGGAAGGCATCAGTTCCTCTCCCATGCTAAAGGTGCCTGTAGGAAGCATAAAAAGCATGGAGAGCCCAAGTTTCTGGACTGCTATTCCTAAACTTGCCTTTATACCATAGCTATAGAACGAAATTGACATGAGAGAAAACAAGAGAGCCAGATCAGATCTTGAAAGCTGTACAGTTCTGGAAAATCAAGTTACAGAAGAAGCTTTCCCCCTGTGTTTGTTTCCACTATATTTGTATATATATCTGAGAAAGCTTGCCTATCACAAGTGTACAGGAGGCTGCCAGAGGTTGCAAGAATCCTGGTATTGACTGATAATAGGGGAGGGAGGGAAGGAGTAGTAGTCTCACACACACACACCCCCACCCAGAAGACCACGTGCCTAGAGACTTCCCACAACAGATGTAAAGACCTTCTAAAGATTCTTAGCAGCTGTAACAGCTTAGAAAAAAAGAATTTTGTAAGTAATAATTACAACTCTCATTTTTAAGTGTTTTAAGATTTAAAAAGCTCTTTTCTCATGCTTTGCAAAGTAGCTAGTACAAATATTATTATCTCCATTTCACAGATAAGGAAACTAAGGCTCACTGAGATTGTAATTTTCTATGGTCCCATATCTAGAAGTAGTCATAAACAAAGATCTGAACTTAGTTCTTCTTTCAACACCAGTACTTTTTCAATTGCTTCATGCTGCTTTCTAGAAAAGTAAGTAACTTTTAAAACTAACTAAATAAAATTAACTGGGTATTTCATTTGCCTGAGAATTCAGGTATCCTTCTATATTGTGCCATTGCCATATTAAAAGATAAGAACTGTTCATGTGTTTAGAATGGAAATGTGGTACAACATAGAAATGAATTAGTTGCAATAAATAAGCAGACCAGATGAAAGATCATCTTCTAGAATAATCCATTATGATGAATATTATAAAATCAAGTGACATAATTTCAAATATTCCATTGTAAAATTCCAACGTTTGTAATGCAAAAACTATACACAGACTATCTGTAATGAAGACTATAATCCAACATCATACAATAACTAGCAGTTCAATAACTTTCTTGTTGATTCACAAGCTAAAAAATCCTCAGGTATTAAAGCAAAGCTCTCATTTGACATAAGAAATCTTTATACTTTCATATACTACAAACTATGATTTTTCTCTTTTGGTCTAAAAGAAACAAGTCAACTTTGACTTATTCAGAGTGAAAAATAAATCCACAAGTAATAAAAAAAAATATATGACCAACATCTCAAATCATATACCAAGATAAAGTCAAAATGCATACATGATTTAAATATAAAGGGTGATACCATAAGCAAATTAGGAGAGTAAGGAAAAGTTTACTGTCAGATCTATGGAGAAGGGAAGAATTTATGACCAAACAAGAGATAGAGAACATTATGAAATACAAAATGGATAATTTTGATCATATTAAATTTAAAAGGTTTTGCACAAACAAACCCCATGCAACCAAAATTAGAAGGAAAACAGAAACCTGGGAAACAATCTTTACAGCAAGTGACTCTGATAAAGGCCTCATTTCTCAAATATACAGAGAACTAAGCCAAATTTATAAGAATACAAGTCATTCTCCAATTGATAAATGGTCAAAGGATATCAACAAGCCAGTTGTGAGATGAAGGAATCAAAGCTATCTACAGTCACATGAAAAGAATGCTCTAAATCACTGCTGATTAGAGAAAGAACACATTAAAACAACTCTGAGGTACCAACTCACACCTGTCACATTGGCTAATATCACAGAAAAGGAATAATGATAAATGTTGGAGGGGATGTAGAAAAATTGAGACACTAATGCACTATTGGTAGAGTTGTGAACTGATCCAACCATTCTGGAGAACCATTTGGAACTATGCCCAAAGGACTTGATCCAGCAATACCAATATTAGATCTGTATTCCAAAGATTTTTAAAAAGGCCAGGGGGTAGGGGGGAAAGAGACCTATTTATCCTATGTAAATATTCATAGCAGCTCTTTTTGTAGTGGCAAAGAATTGGAAATTGAAGGGATGCCTACCCATTGGAAAATGGCTGAACAAGTTGTGGCATATGACTGTAATGGAATACTACTGTGCCATAAGAAATGACAAGCAGGATGATTTCAGAAAAACCTAGAAAGACTAATATAAACTGATGCAAAGTGAAGTGAACAAAACCAGAACATTGTACACAGTAACAACAATACTGTATGATGATCAACTGTGAATTGCTTAGCAATTCTCAGCAATACAATGATCCAAGACAATTCCAAAGGTCACATGATAAAAAATGCTATCCACATGCAGAGAAAGAACTGATAGAATCTGAATGCAGATAGGAGCATACTATTTTTTCACTTTTTTTTGTGTTTTTTTTTTCTTTTGGTCTCTGACTTCTTTTACAATATAACTAATATGGAAATATGTTTTGCATGATTGCACATGTATAACCTATATCAAAATACCTACAACCTCAGGAAGGGGGAAGGTGAGCAAAGGAAGAAGAAAATTTAGAACTTAAAATGTTAAAAAATGAATGAATGATAAAAATTGTCTTTGCATGTAGTTGGGGAAAAAATAAATTATTTGAAAACAAAAAAAGAAATTCACCTCCTCATTCTCCCACCCCACCCCCCATCCTTTTCTGCTGTGGACAAGAAAATGGCCTGGAACCGGGCAGAAGAAAGAAAAACTGTAAGGTATGTATGTATAATCTATAGAAGAGATAACCAGTCCTTTAATAATCAAAAGCTGGCAGTGTATAATGAATGTACCTCTAATAAGTCTTCCTATCAGAAAATATATCAATGTTTCAGAAAATAAACAATGTTTCAGAAAAACTGCTCAGTCAAGAGTTTTCATAGTAATGAAATTTTACTTAGCGGAGGGGGACATGATAACTAAAAGCTTGGCCCAACACTCTACTAAGCCAGATCATCCAAAAAACACTTATAGATGAAACTGGAAGGAGAACAAATAAAGAAAAACTGGAACACATCTGCCAGCGTTTCTATAATAATTTATTTTCATAATCATTGGCGGTGTAAAAAAATCTGAAAAGAGGGAGTAAAATTGGAAAAATTAAGAGTATTACTTTTTTTAAAAAGTGCTCAAGGTGAACATCAATAAATACCAACTCATATAAACTTTTTCATTACTATAATTTTTTTAATACGCAAAGGTATCCTCCCAGAAAACATAAGAAAGAATGGGAAAACAGGCTTTTACAAATAATTTTCCACAGTAGACAAGATCTTCATTTATGGTCAAACAAGTGACCAAAAGATTTAATGAACACAAAATCCCACTAGACAGATTAATTACAGATTATAAAAAAGCATTAAATTCAATACAAAAAAAAAAAAAAGAGTCACGCTCTTCTCCAATAAGGTTTTTTTTGTTTTGTTTTGTTTTTTTGTGCAAATGGCAAAATCATGTAAAGATCCATGAAAAAAGTGCCCACAGATACAACTTTGTTCCCTGGTCTCTGACTCAAGATGAAGAGAAGCATAAATATGAGCTTGTTAGAGGCACCTGCCATCATCACAGTTGTCATCCTGTGGAGAGTCCAAACGCCAGAAAGGCTCCTGAGGAACAGTGAAGTCCTTCAGACATTCCTGTTTGCAGATGACATCATGCTGCTTTCATCAAGCCCCAGAATCTCCCTTCAACAAGACTTTCATATAAGAATGCCTATCAACTCTTCTAGGACATGAGATTGGATGGGTATTGAGATGGGAAGTGTGTTACAGTGGAAAACAGTATCGGCTTTGAATTTCAGCTCTGCAATTTACTGTTTATGCGACCATGGTCACGTGACCTCGTGGTGCCAAGCCTCAGTTTCTTAACACATCATATGAGATCAAGATGGTTTGCCAGGACCCTTCTGGCTTTAAATTTATAATCCATCAGTACATAAATAAAAGTAGAAAACACCTTTATACAGTTTGTGCCACACTGACACTTTCCATCTGTAGTTCTGCTTGGTTTGATGCCCCATCCAGGATAAACTGATCACCTTAAATCTCATCAACACCTTCCCAACTCCCTTAGGGTTCTCTCTCCTCTGACTGGAGGCCTGGACAGTGCAGCACTAAATTCCTCCCAAAGTTTTCCTTTATAGAATGCTGGAGATCTGCAGTTTCTAACTGACTGTCCATTTTCCATCCACAGCTCTACCTCCTTTGAACTCCAGAGATGGGGCCTTCATGTTAGATAGCCCTCAGTGTCCTCCGGTGACCCTTGCTTTCCAACTTCCTTTCGTGTGCTGTCTTTCCCAATAGACTGTAAACTGCTTGAGGGTAGGGGATGTCTTTATTTGTATCCCCAGTGCTTAGAACAGGGTCTGGTACACAGCTGACTCTTAACAAATTTTAGTAAATTGAACTACAGAATTGCTTATATCATCAATTTAGAATTATTCTTTTTTATGTAGATGTCTTATCTTCCTAGACAAATGGAAGGTCAAGGGCAGGGACCTTGTCTGTACATATTTCAAAGGAGAGTAATAAATGCGCAAAGCACTTTGAGTGGGTCAAGCCAGGATTCCCATCCAAGTCATCTGACTTCAGAACCAAGTTTCTTTGAACTGCTTCATGATGCCTTTTATGCACCAAGGAAACTTGCTAATTTATAGAAATTTCAGCATTATCAGTGAATTGTTCCCTATAACTTTTGTCATCTATATTTCATCCTTTATTGTTTGGTTGTTTCGGTCATGTCCAACTCTTTATGACCCCATTTGGAGTTTTCTTGGCAAAGATAGTGAAGTGGTTTGCCATTTTCTTCCCTGGTTCATTTTACAGATGAGGAAGCTGAGGCAAACAGGATTAAGTGACTTGCCCAGGGTCATACAGCTAGTAAGTGTCCCTCACTTAGTAAGTCAGATATTTTCCATATAAGGTTTTCATGCATCTGAGGTAAATGTGTATGTACATCAATCTGACAGCCCCAATGTACAC